GTGATGTCTGACCAGTAGGCAAGTATAAGAAGATAATAATAAACATAAAATAGATTTCTACATTACTGAATGCTCCCTCTAATTCTGTGGTACTAAGATCCCACCCAACAAAAAGTAGGAAATACAATCACGGAACAAAGGAGGCCTGGGACCCGTCGCTCAGTTCTTCTGCCCCAGGTCCTCACCTAGCTCAGCCCTTCTTCTCACACAGGACGCTGCCCTGTGATACTTCCAGGAGTGTCTCCAACACTCAGACCACAGTCCACGCCCTTCGTCCCTCTGCACTGCCTTTCTTCACACACCTGTGGTTCTCCAACAGGTACTACATGTCTGTTCACTGTCTCAACCCGCCCCAGCATCTGGACCAGTACTGGGATATGGCTATCACTCAAATACTTACTGATGAATTAATAAAGAGGCCAAAACAGATCCACATAATGAAAATGCTAGAGGTTTTAGGATGAAGGAAAAAATTTCTAACTAAGAAATAAGAAATCAATACATGATTTCTCTGTTGGGATAAAAAGAGCTTATTAAGGAGTTAATAAACATGTAAATAAGAATGATATTTGAGGTTATACAACTACATAAAAATCACACATCATGAGAAAATGTTATGCCTCTTTAACAAACTGGTCACCCCCTCTGCATCTCTACATCCACATGCAACGTGAGCAGTGTGAACACAGAGTGTACTCACCTGGTAAGCCAGTTCTTCGCACCCGGCCGAGGATGCATGCGGCGTGTGGCTCACCAGGATTACCTGCGGGGAGCCTGTGCCGCCCGGGCCCGAGAGGGACGGGTCCGTGAGTAATGCTGGGAACTGCTGGCCCTGGAAAGAGAATAGCGGTGTCTTCAGAAGCCTTAATGTTATCAGATCAACTGATAATTTAAAAGATCTTCTATGGTGCAGCCACTGTGGAAAACAGCTTGGCAGTTCCTCTAAAAGTTAAACATAGAACTACCAACCAAAAAAAACCCAAACCCATTGCATTGAGTCAATTCTTGCTCATAGTGACCCTACAGGACAGAGTAGAACTGCCCAATAGGGTTTCCAAGTCTATAATCTTTACAGAAGCAGATTGCCACATCTTTCACCCGAACAGCAGCTGGTGGGTTCAAACCATTGACCTTTCGATTATCAGTTGAGCACTTAACCACTATGCCACTAGGGCTCCTCAGAACTACCATATGACACAGTAATTCCACCCTGAAGTACCATTTATACATGAAAACCTACATTAACACAAAAACTGTACACAAATGTTCATAGTAGCTTTATTCCAAAAAGTGGAAACAACCCAAATGTTTCTCCACTGAAAAATGGATAAACAACACGTGGTATATCCATACAGTGGAATATTGTTCATACTATAACATAAACAAACCTCAGACATATTACGCTTAATGCATAAACCACATCAGACACACACATTATAAAAGAGTATCATCCCTTTATGAAATGCATGAATGAAATTGGTTTGCCAAGTAACATGCAATGGTTGTGTTAACCTAAAAAAAGGGTCTCACAGTTGCAAAGGTAGTTCTTACAATGCAGCCAGGCTACATTTTGGAGTTTTCAGTTAGATAACAGTTACAATCATACCCTCTTCAAGGAATGTCAGTTAACTTCTTCCTCTCATGCATGATTTTAATTCAAGAAACAATACCGTTCTGGCCATCAGTATCTCCAACAATTCCCTGTATTGTAAAACAGGACACCAACTGAAATGGAAACCAGTCTTTGAAAAACAAAATGATACTGAGGGGCACCAGAAGGGGCTCTTTACCAGCCGTGCGGCAGAGTTTCATGGTGGCAGTTTACAGCTGACCACAGGCCCTGGAAGGAGGCGAGTAACTGTGAAGGCACAGGTGGGACCTGCCCTTACCTGAGAGGTGATGTTTAGCGTCACCGTGTCAAGGCCCCCGGAGAGCATGCCCTGAGTGTCGGCCAGCGTGAGTGTGACGCTGGCATCGCCTCCCACCCCCGACGACGCCATGACCAGGTTCTGCGTGGATATGGTGGACGGAGACATGGGCGTGGTGGAAGGAAGGCTCCCAGGGGTGGCGTTCAGTTCTACAAAAGAGGCAAGAAGAGCAGGTCAATGGGAACGCTAGATAAGCTGACTTGTCACGGCATGGGAAGAACAGTTTTCATAAAGGAACTAATCTGTAGTCACGATGAGCACAAACTCTGCCTAAGTTTTTGAAACTACATCAAAGAAGTCATCTAATCTTTCACTCTAATTTTGCCATAAAGGTTTTTTTACTTTCTAGACGTCGTTACAGATGAGCACGTGGCTGTGTCTTAAGCAAGTACAGGGAAAGCCAGAGACGGCGCATCCAGTCACGCTGGTAACGCAGAAAGGAAATGCAAACGTGAGCTTCCAGGATTCATTATCCTGACTCAGGGCAAAAGAGAAGAGCCTGAAGAAGAGAATCCAACAGGATCCACGGACCAAGGACTGGTTCTGAAGCTCACATTCCTTCTGCTTATGCTCTCACTCTCATCCCCCGGGGTTGTCTGCCTGTCCTTAATACACGCACTCAGAACAAACCTCGCTCAACCCTTTTAATGTTAACTTGCCCTGTGCGACATCTTAGGTGTCTTTGCCAAGACAATGTAACTGTAACTCGCCACAAAGAACTATGTTGGACATTTCCGCCTTGTAACCAACAATATAAGAGAAAGGAAGATATCCAGGGCAGAGGAGGGCAAAGAAAGGCCTTCTCTTCTGCAAATCAGACACTCATGCACCCTACTGGCAAACAAGATTATCAAAGCCCTTTGGTGGGCACCCCCACAAAGGATGTTTAAGCTGTTACTGGTGAACACACACGTGCACACACTTGCTCTCTCACTCTATCCTCACGGTCCATTTCTCCATCCATCTAATCATGTAACCGGTACTTCTTTATCATCCACCGTGCCAGCCGCAGTGCCAGGTGCTAAGACACTGCACAACAAATACACGTAAGCTCAGAAAAGAGTCCTCGATGGAGATGGGAACAAAGTGAGACAGCCCTTAATGCTATGTGAAACGGCAAAGCCGGGCAGCCTGGCCTGGTCTCAGAGCCAGCAGGGAGCCAGGTTACTTGCCTGTAAGTGGAGCTCTCCAGACAAATGCCTCCACATATGCACACCCTTGGAGTCTCGCTCTGTGCTGCTCAGACCTGGAACTTTTCACAGCAGCAACTACTAGGAGTCAGGAGTCTTATAGGGAAGCAGCCACTGCGGCTGCAGATAAGCTGTAAGGAGACTGCAGATCCCACCCACCATCCCAGCACAGTGATAAGTGCACTCCCGAGAGGAACCAGCACTGTCCTCAGCGACGATGCACATGGATTTGTGTGAAGACTCCAGTTACCAGTACGTCAGCCAACCTCGTGTCCATTACAAAGTGGCTTCCACACAGCCTTACTCATACCAGCCAGTACCTGTGTAGTATCTTACAGTGCATGAACGGAGACTCAACAGGAAGGCCCTGCAGAGCTGGCGCTAAGAAACCACGTGGGTTGCGATTCCACCAGAAACATGAAGGAATAGGCGGGGACCCCAGGGCTGATTGCTGTCCGCACTGGCATGGTCTGCTGCCAAAGCCCCAGAGGCTGGCCGCAGCCACACTGTGAATCACATACCCACAACTCTCATCCAAATGACACTTAAAAAGCAAAGCCAAAAATTAATGGGATTCATTACTCTTTAGACAGCAAAGAATGCAAAGCCTATCCTAACTTCTGAAATAAAGAAGCCAGAGGGCTTCTCCCCTCTCCCCAGCTAAACGTCTCTGACTCTCTTGTGGTTCCTAATGAACCAAAGATTCCAGAGCTGCGTGGCACGACGGGGCTCAGCAGACAACAGGGGCCTGTGTGCTCCTTTAACTGACGTGATGGTTGACAGCTCCAGGCAAGTTCAGAGTTCACATTTCAACTCAGTGTGGGGGAAGAACCTTTAATAACGCCCTTAGTCCAGTGAGTTTTCCACAAAGAGGATGATGCCAATTCAAGTAGAACTACCCTCAATGTGATTAAAAAGAAAAAAATGAACATTTCTTAAGTACTCAAATAGGTTTTTAAAAGCTATAATTACATTTGTTTAATATTCATAGCTCTTAACTACATAAAAGATGTGTTTAAAGCCCTGAAAGCCACAGTTTTCAATTCAAAATAAATAGCCGTAACTTGAGAATTAGAATCCAATATTTAAGTGAATATTGTACATATTTACTTTTATTTCCTATCTACTTTTCTGAAACCACAGTTCCCTCAGGACACACTTGATTCTGAGTCAAAAAGTTCTCCTTTAAAGGATTAATAAACACTACATGTTCCTCAAACCCAACACTGCCTTAAATCATCATTGGAATAAGGTTTGTAGCTTCTAAGATTAACTCCATCATAATTCTGGAAGGTTTCATAAGTAGAAAGAAGCATTAGCCTTGCCACTGATTCTCAAGTATCACGTCTCAGAAGAGCCTTGTTTAATCTCAAAACAATGTCACCTCAGTTTCAATTCTCACTGGGGTGACTTTGACTCCAAGGTAGACACTGCCCGCAAAGATGCAATACCCTGACCGCTACAATGGAGACAGGATCGGCTGCTTAGTAACTAGCATTGACGGAATGTGCAACCACTCCAAAGAACCAAGTGGAATAGTAGATAAAGAATCTCTTCCTATATCGAGGAGTATCCAAAGATGCCACGGGAATTTGAGAACATAATATAACTCACTGCTCATAAAAAGAGCTGGTGTAATATTAATAAAACACAAATGTTCTTTAATTAAGAATTCATCTTTTACTTTACAACATCACCGGATCTTTGAAAAATATTTTCTAAAAAAATAAGGCAGCAAAATTTAATGTGTGAGATAAGCTAAATCACATTAAAAATAATGATAATAATAAAAGCGATATCTCAGCTAGCTCTTTTTAAAAAAAAAAGTCTAAAAGAAAGAAAAAAAATTAAGTCAGCAAAAAGAGTCTGTTTTTCAGGAATCCTCACTGGCGTGTCATGTGGAGCCTTATGCGCACTGATGGCTGGGAATGATGCTGCCCTGAGAGAACCTCCCTCCACTCTCTGTGAGACTCATCAGTGTGTACCTGAGGAGGCAACTTTACCAGGAAAAATACTCCGTACCTAAGCCACTGTACTCCAGCCAGAGGAGAGCAGTTTAAAGAAATACTGGCAGCCAGAACAGACCCTTGGAGCTCACATGTTCTCATCCCATCCATTTTTCCACTCTGACCAGAACACCCCCGATTTTGAACTAAGGAAGCCGCTGCACCAGCAAACATCCAGGTCCACCAAGCTGCACAGGAAACTACTCCACAGAAGTTAGAACAGCTAGACTACCATTGTCTTTCCATCAGTTTGCCAAGGAGCGGCTACAGGATTCAAGCAGAGCTTCCATGAAGACACAGGATTCCACGATAGCCAGTTCAGTCTTCGGCAAAGCAAGCAGGGGCCAAGTTTAATTCCAAAAATCTCCTGAACTGAGACCCACAACAACGTGACAACCATTCACTCTGCCCCCACACAAGAAATATCCTCATATCTCAACATGCACCAGGCCAAAGTGGGAAAGATAGTAAACTCAAAGTTTAAGGTTAGGAGTCTAGAGATGGCGAGCAACAACGCAGTCTATGCTTTGTATAAAAAGTGTGTTATGTAACTTCGATTGTATATGATCTACTTTGGATATTTTACCCATTATAGACTAAATAATAACCTGAAATTCTCAGCTTTTATCAATTAAAATATAAAGCAAAAAGCAAAATTCTGCTTAATTGAAAAACAAAACAAAGAAGTCCTCCCTTATTTCAAATTAGTAAGTAAAAGAACTAAATTCTATGACAGAGTATGTTAAAGGCCAAAATTTAAGCAAACAAACTGATAAAGGAGGAACAGGGTTAGAGTCAAGTGGACGTGGTGGGACAATGGAGGGCAGAAGTGATCCAGTGGAGCTCATATCTGGCCAGGATTTGAGAGGCGGGACCTGCCTGGCCCTGCAGCTATGTGACTTGGACAAAGCTCTCAGCCAGTCGGGCCTGACGCCACACTGTTAGCCAACAAGAGGGAGACAGAATGCTGCCCCTCAGCTCCCAAGTGGCCCACCGTCCTCAGATCCCGGCCTTGTCTCATGCATGCTGCCTTGCATAAGACATCAGAAGCGTCCGTGGCCAGGCCAAGCTCCCGCCATGCGCATGCTGGGCACCATGGTCCCTCCTTTACAGGTCATCCCAGATGCAGTTTCACAGCCATTTGTGGGAGTCTTTAGTCAATGCCTGCACCCTGCTAGCTTCTAAGATCCAAAACGTAGGGGACCACATCTACTTTGCTCAGTATTGTACTCCCAAACTTACTACAATCCCTACCACACAGTAGATGCTACAGTATTTTATTGAATGAAGAAATGACTAGATAAGAAAGCATTTCAATTAAGCATAAAAAATAGCCTCACTTTTGAGAACAAATACACCTGATCATTAAAATTTTTTTCTCAAAAAATTATCTAAAGTGTTGGAAAATAAGAAGGCTAAAAAATGAATGAAATCTCTAGGAGGTCAAGAAAACCAGATGTTATCTTAAACTTTTAACTATTACTTACCAATCTGTGATTTATTTTACTTGAGCTTGTTTGCTAATAAGCCATTTATTTCTGATAAAAGTCTGTACTTTGAAGCCTAAGAAAGCTGCCTTCTTTCAAGTTTGTTATCCTACTGCCAGCTGGTGGCAGAAAGTTCACCCTGCAGGACAAACAGGAACGATCCCAGCGCTGGGCTGGAGAGCAACAGCTCTGTACACAGGGGCACTGCATGCTAACTGCACCCTTTCGTGCGTATTTCAATAAAATTACTTATTTCTATCCCTTAAAAGGTAGCATTGTGAACTGGTTAAGTCCAGAGAGAATTCTGTAGCCTAGAATTATACCTAAGCCACTAAGCATTGTTAAATTATACTTCACTTATACATTCTACATATATTATTATACATATATTATTCTACACATTTGTTGCTGGAAGGTTTTACTCCTCCCCATTTGCTGTTTGCACCGCCCTATGACTGCGACATCTTATAACACCTTTCTTGGCTACATCATTAGCTGCGTACCTGAAGAGTTTAATGTTGCGCTCTGTGAGAGCAATTGATCGTTGCTTATTGTTAAGGTGGCACCTGTGGACTGATTGTTGATTGTAGGTGCCGACAATCGTATGCTTCCATTTAGTTCACTACTTCCATTAGAGTTGTGTTGAATAAGATCTTGACCTGAATGGAAATTAATATTGTGATATCTGAAAATAACATGTGCATTTACATACTATAAAGTGTGTTAAAAACAGAACATCCTCAAAACTTTCATTTTTAATAATATATATAAAAAATGAAAATAAGACCACCAAAGACATTTTCCTAAGTGATAGTTATTTCTTCATGCTTTTTGTAAGTGGTTGAAGGGTGTCTAAAATGCTCCTTAGAATACTACTTTAACTTAGACTTACACATGCTTGTTGAGTAAAACTTCCACTGAAGCGAAAACACTCCCAATGTAGCGGACTGCCAGATGTGGAAAAACTGTGTCTCAGTGGGTCGAAAGGACATCATGCCCAGTACCACACCTCCCTGACTGGCCCCACTTAGCGGCTTGCTGAAGTCGCCCTGCAGTGAGTCTCTGCTGCACAACCCAGCGACGGCTGCTTGTGCCCCGCGGAGGGCACAAAGACACGCTCTAACGTGCCCATGACATTCTCTCACCAACTGACATCTGCTTTGGGTCCTAAACCTGCCCAAGCCAGTTTGACCAGCTTTTATATAATTTAAACAGTAAAGAAACAAATGGCATCTGAGAATAAAAACACTGTCAATATTTCAACGAAAGCCAAATTGAATGCTTTGGGAAGACTTGATAACGATAAGTCACTTCTAAAAAAAAAACTGCTGCCAAATTTGGTGTAAGACAACAAAACTGGGGGGAAAAGCATCAGCAGGTAAAAGAATTCTGCACTCTGCTTTATAGTTATCTAAATTCTCATGCTATATTAAAGAAATCAAAATCGGAAATGAAGTTATGCATTACGGGCATGATCTATGAAAAAAAAAAAGGAAGAAAACTGCAGAACTCTATCAGCAGAGCAGACCTACATTCAAGAGATGGGTGGATGATGTTCAGGGGA